AAAATTTATTTTTTCTCCTATGAAAAAGAGATTTATATGTTTTAGATTTACTAAAACAGTTAAAAATCACTCGAACCCCCATATTTATTTTTGTTTATAAAAACCGTTAGCAAAACACTTAAAATTTGCATTATTTCTCATTATTTATATGTTTCCCAGTATAGACCACATTTTGGGGTGTCCCAGTATGCACCATACATGAATTTCCCAGTATAAACCAGTTCATAAAATATTTATTGTAGCCGATTGTTTAAAATAGGCAACATAAAATACATTTATTGGCATAGTCGCTTACTGTCTAATGCCATAACCTCAAAACATATTAAATATAGTTTTAAAATTTTAATTAATAAAGGAGTTATAAACAAAACTGTTTGAATAGAATGTACAAATGTAATTCATTATCTTACCTTTTTACTAAAAATTTCAAATATATTTCTTAATGCTTGTCAAAGATCACAATTTCCTAAGACACAAAATGCGAATAAACTTACGACACAACATAAGGTGGTTCGATACTTGAAAAGATTACTTACAACGTTGTCAGATTGATTGTCCCATTATGAACCATGTCCCAGTATAGACCACGCTCCCCTAAATACACCAAAATGTGCAAACAAAACGAAAAAATATCGTAAGATAACAAAAAATTAATCAATTTTGGTAAAAAAATGCGGCTTTTTCAACTTAAAAATTATACCCTGTTTATTGATTGTTTTAAGGTAATATGAACTTGTAATACATATTAGTCTAACACAAATGAAAAAAAAATTATGTTTCTGCATCATCAAGATCAAGATGTTCTATATTATTATCTTCATCTATCTCTGCCTCCAGGTGAACATCTTGTACACCGAGCTCTGCATAAATACCATGATAAATAGGGGGGATATAGGGTAGTAGTTCCTTAAAGTTTTTCAATTTTTTTGGATTTATTGGGACAAAGGCAGAATATTTAAGGGGCAGCTCTGATAAGTTTGTACACTTTGCAAGTTGCACACCCCGTTTTCCAATGTTGACTGGCTTAATAAAATTAAACACAACCAACCAAAAGCGTCAAAATTGGATAACAGCAGGTCTTGTCCGGTCAATAAACCATAAAAATAAATTATATAAAGAACGTCAACAAAATCCAAATGATGAGCAAAAAAAACATTTATACGTCAACTATCGTAAACAGATAAATGAGTTAATTAAAATTACAAAACGCAATTACTACCGAGCCGAAATACAAAATAATACAAAATATTTATGGAATCTGGTCAACAAAAAAAATAAAAAAAACAATATTATTAATGAAATACTCACAAATTCGGACGAAAGAGTCAATGATAAAAAAGATATTGCGGAGAAATTTAACAATTATTTTGCTTCGGTAGGAGAAAACCTAGCACGAAAAATATCAAGACCAACAAATCCTCATCCAACCCGGAAAAAAAATTGTAACACTTTTTATTGGTTACCAGTGACTGACGAAGAGATTAGAGAAATAATATTGTCACTTAAAATAAATAAAGCACCGGGAGTATATAACTTGAAAGCCGAGTTATTTAAAAAACTGCATAATGAGCTAATCAGACCCATTGCTGATCTCATAAATTTGATATTTTCTAGTGGGGTCTGTCCTTCCATATTTAAAACAGCTATAGTCACTCCAATTCATAAAAAAGATAAAAAAGATCAAATGTCCAATTATAGACCCATATCCCTAATTACTACGTTGGCTAAAATAATGGAGAAAACTGTAAAAAAAAGATTAATGGACTTTATAGACAAACATAAATTATTGTCAGAGCGACAATATGGATTTCAGAAAGGATTATCAACAAATGATGCAATTAAGACCTTGGTTTCCTCAATATATAACTCCATTGATAAAACCGAACCAACAGCAGTACTGTTCCTTGACTTAGCTAAGGCGTTTGATACTGTGAGTCATTCGCAGTTGTTAGACGTCTTGGATGATGCAGGGATACGGGGACTCCCATACACATTTTTCGAAGACTACTTAACTAACCGAAAACAACATGTTAGGATAAATGGAGAACTCAGTAGAGAAAAAGTTGTATCGTTTGGAGTTCCTCAAGGTACCGTACTGGGACCAATTCTCTTCAATTTGTCCATTAATGATATATTTTATTTTAACTCTTCGGGGAAGGTAATTGGTTTTGCAGACGACACTGCTGTAATATATAGTGACAAAACGTGGGAAAATTTAAAAAATAAAATAGAAACTGATGTAAAAAAAATATTTGATATATTTAGACACAAAATGCTTACGATTAACTACAACAAAACCTATATTGTTCCGTTTACCAGTTATAAATACAAATTACCACTTTATAATAAAATTATTATTACGGACAACAATATGATTACTGAAATTTCTTTAAAATCTGAAATTAAATATCTTGGTGTAAAAATAGATTCACATTTAAGATGGACCTCACACTTATCGGACGTAGCTAAAACATTAAGGTTTTTATTATATAAATTTAAATATATAAGAACAATACTAAACTTACCACATCTAAAAACGATTTACCATGCACTTGTGGAATCGCGTCTCAGATATGCCATCATAAGTTGGGGAGGTACATTGCCAAGTCATCTAGAACAGGTCGAAATCCTACAGCGAAAAATTTTAAAAATTATATATTGTAAAAATCTAAGATTTAACACTAATGTAATGTCTTTAAGGCAGCTATATCTTTTTAGTCTAATCATTCATTTATTTCAAAACCGCACTTACCTACAAACACCTGGCCATTATTATCATACTAGAACTAAAACAAAAGATTATATACAAACAAATACTGCTAAAAAAAACATAGGTACGAGATGTTTCGATTTTGTAGCACCCCGCTTGTTCAACTTCCTACCTGATATGTATAAAATTTATATAAGAAAACTAAACTCAACTAATCTCTTAAAATCGATTTTTAAAACTTATATAAAAACATTAGGATCTAAAGAAATAGATAAAATAATTGAAATTGAGTAAAAAAAACCAAAATAAATATTAAAAAAAAAAAAAAAACTTTAAGATCAAAATAAAATAAATGTAACAAACTAAAGAATCAGAGAGAATTATGTATACTAGTTTTAAGTCTAGTGTAGAAAAAATTGTATAATGTATTATATTATATTTTTAAGTCATCCGTGTACTCCATGCTCAACCTTTATGGTCTTAATCGATTACACTGATAAAAATTCTTAAATTGATTGTTATGTATTCTGTATTTGAACAGTATGTTCTGTTTAAAAAATGCAAATGATATAAACTGCAATCGTAAAATATACTATTACTTTTGTTTTTAATCATTAAATATTTATTTAAAGATAAAATTACTTAAAATGAATAAGAAAAAAAATGTTAATATCAAAATAAAATAAATGCAATAAACCAAATTAGAGTAGTGAACATTATCTATATTTATAGGTCTAGTGTAGAGAACATTATGTAAAATATTTTTAAATCATCGGTGTACCTCATGCTCAACCTTTATGGTCTTAATGGGTTACACAGATGAAACATTTTAAATTAGTGTCATGTATTTGAACAATATGTTCTGTTTATTTAGTCGTATTACTGTTTGTTTTAAATGGTTCGTTTAAGTAATATTTTATGAACATGGTATTGGGATGCTCTACTTCAAATCAGAAGCATCGTACCTTGCTAAAATTCACATTTTCTTTTGTATCCGTCGTATTTTTTTTGTTTATATTTTTTAGTATATCTCCAAAAGCATAAAAATCGGCCTGCGTCATTGATATTACTTTGAAAGGATTTTTTGCTTTAGCTTCTCTCACAGCACTGTGCCATTGTTCTGGAGAATATACCTGCTTTAAATATTTTTTTCGCTTCTCGATAGCAGCGAAATCCCTATCTGATGGTAGGTGGGTATGCCCTGGCACTAGAAATCTATGTTCAATGCCTTTGAATTTCATTTCGTGTATCATCTGTAACCATAAGCACATTATCGTCCAGTTCTTATTCTGCCCCCCACAGTTGTCTGTTTAAAATATTAGTTCTTCTGCTTGAGGGGCAGTATGATTGATATATTTCAAAATAACACTTACTATTTCTTCGCTTCCACGCTTTGCTATGTGTTCCGGCCACATAAACATGAAACCTTTTCCAGTGTTACAGTTGTGTACACCAAGATTGTACATCCAGGCCTTTCTGAGGTAAAACGCCTTTCCCACAGTCAAATCTGGTAGTGGAAGGGCTTGTTGAAGATCGAAAGAAATTACAGTTTTTTTTGCCTCCTTTTTTAGCTTCTTCTGTTTCACTATTAAGACTAGCCTGCATCGCGATTGCTCTTCGTTGATGTAATTCTAATTGGATTCGAGTTTCTCCCAGTTTGGCTTCGTCGTTTGTAGTTGATTCCATTAATGTCTTGTATTGATCACATGTGTCGCTCTTAGGCAACTTAAACCCAATGTTGTATTGACCACATAAAATCCTTCTGTAGGCATCATCTTCTTTAGCTGGTTGTGGAACACCTTGTTCTCTACACCACGAAATATAGAACTTTGTATATAGGGAAGCAATAGACAGGTCATGATCGATGTAAACACGATTGGGATTACACGGCCTGCTGTAGTGGCTTGTATATTTAGGTATTGCCTCAATATGATCATGAACACTTTTTACTGTTTCTTCTGGTAATCGATTTTTGCGATTGTGATGTTTATAACGTTGGTCATATTTAGGAATCGTATCTCCCTGTCTAATATGTTTGCAAATATTGTATATTCGCTTCTTAGAGTTCTGAAACCCATGAATAGATAAGAACTCCTCCTTGCATATGTGTGTGTCAAGTCCCTGAATCTTCACGAAATACGAAAAAGTCACTGATCGAGAAGAAGTTTGTCTGTTTTTTTGGGATAACTTCTTTTTTTAGGCATAGCCTTTATCGTACCAAAAAGATACACGTTCTGTTTGTCATATGAATCCAAGTTCCAGAATGAATGGAAAATTGTCTCTTAATTTCCTAAAAGTAATGCTCTGCGTTTTTTTTGCAATGGCATGGAGGTCCCATGGTTTTGGGGGGAATTTTTTTTCCCTTCCAATCATCATACGAGTGACCTAAATTCCGACGCTTTTTGGCTTTTTCTCGTTTCCTGGTTTCTATATTTTGATGCCGCCACCTGGACTTAGGTTTTTTTTCAGGCGTTTCAATACAGCCTCGTGATATGTTTGGATCCTAGAATAAAGAAAACATTATTGACAAAAGAAGGAAACAGGCCACAAAAAGAAGGAAAATAATGTATTGTCGAAAGAAGGAGTTATGCATAACATATGGCATTGTCAATAGCTTAAAAAGGGTGGTAAGTTGTTTCCGTTTGTATAAATACAAATTGATACTTTAAGTGATTCTTTATCTGATCCTTTTGTAACCTCATGTATGTTACGTTCGCCTCTTAGAGCAATGATTTTTCTACTTTTAGGACATATCTGAAAAGCGGATTCATCGCAGTTAAATATTCTGTTTGGATCTTCGAGAACGTCAAAAACATTTTCATGTTTTAAACTAGTTTTAACTTCTGTGAATCAGTTTCGAATTTTTTCCTCTGTGACAACATCTCGTTTTCCACCTAATCGCTCTGAGGTTCTTCTGGATAGTGCTTCTTTATGTCTATTTATAAATTATGTAAACCATTTTCTACCAGGATTGTTGTTATTAAACGAATTTTCTCTTCCGATGTTTAATATAATTTTCATCTTCAACTATAGCTAAAGTCATTATTTAAACAAACTTTTTTAAAATATTTTTTTCACCCAATAGTTGCCACAATGTGGCAATTACTGGAAATTTAACACTTCATATTTCAAGTAATTGCCATCCTATCTTAAAAGGTAAAAAACTTTTTAGCAAAAACACTTTATATAACCATCCCAGCTAGCACAAAAACATTCCATCTACGTTAATAAGTTGCAATTTTAGGCTCTTTAAGCTCACATATGTACTTTTAATGTAACCTTATTATCCATGCAACCTCCGAATGTCCGCAATGGCAAGACTTTTATAGTACATCTCGTAGAGATTACAAAGTTAAGTTCGGAAAACATTACACTAGCACTTTTACGGTACTTTCCCCGAAAGTTGCTCTGAAAAGTTTTATAGATGTTATAATGTGAATTCATTCTACAACATACAGTGTGTACACGGATGGACTTAACAATACTTGTAAAAATATTTATTTTAAATTTAAAAGTACTTCTTCATAATTTCTTTTGCTTGTAAATAAATACGATTAACGTGGAGAAATTATGAAAAAGACCTTTTTTAAAAAAATTTAAATAAATATCGTTACAAATATAGTTATGTCCATCCTTCGATACACTATATGTAAAATAGTATATTGAGGATATAGTAAAATCTGAAGAAAACAAAATAAAAAATTGGATAAATTTATTATTAAAAAGCTTTTGAAATCAAGTACCAATATCATACAAGTAGAGATAGGTATTAATAATATAGGTAACGCAGTTACACATATGTGATATCATAAAGTAGCTATAAAACATTGACAAATTGGACAAAAGTAGGTATAAAGGGTATATAAGGAATATCTCAAAGGTTCACTAGAATCGAAAACACTCAACGCTTGCACGAAAGAGTATAATAAGGTACCTATATTGCAAAGGTTCACTAGTATCTAAACTGGTGAACGATTGTAGAAAAGTAGTAAAAAGTGTATTTATATAAGGTATATTTCAAAGGTCACTAGATTTTTATTAAGATAGCAGTTGTACGATGCTAAAAAAATATATTTGCCTACAACTGGTACTAATCATAGTTTTAATACGATATAATAATAATAATAATAATAATAATAATAATAATAATAATAATAATAATAATAATAATAATAATAATAATAATAATAATAATAATAATAATAATAATAATAATAATAATAATAATAATAATAATAATAATAATAATAATAATAATAATAATAATAATAATAATAATAATAATAATAATAATAATAATAATAATAATAATAATAATAATAATAATAATAATAATAATAATAATAATAATAATAATAATAATAATAATAATAATAATAATAATAATAATAATAATAATAATAATAATAATAATAATAATAATAATAATAATAATAATAATAATAATAATAATAATAATAATAATAATAATAATAATAATAATAATAATAATAATAATAATAATAATAATAATAATAATAATAATAATAATAATAATAATAATAATAATAATATTTATTCAAGAATAACACAAGTTACAAAGTAATAGAATAACAATTTCAAATAAATAAATATTAATACTCAATAAGTGCCAATAAGGCACTTGTTTTGAGAACAAATAAAATATAAAAAAATTTTAATATAAACAAATATAAAAATATAAAATAAAATTAATGCATTATAGAGAAAAAAATATGTATTTTAGATAATATTTTATATAGACAAACACAATCAAAATACCTACATTTAAATAACGAGATATTGAAACGTTAGTTAATTGAAAGAATATTATTTATCACGTCCATTTTCTCATTTTTGATCAATTTTTTTAAATTATTTTTAAATATGGACAAGGTATTACATTTTATGTCGACTGGGAGGGTATTATATAATTTTGGACCTAGATACAAATACGATCGTTGTCCTACCGATTTCTGAGTACGAGGCACAGTATGGAGATGTTTTTTCCTTGTGCTATATGAATGATCTGGTAAGTTAAATAGTTGTTTGTATTTAATATTAATATTATAATAAAAAAATTGTTTTAGATCCATAACATTTGCCTCAACAAACAATGAGTTTGAAGGATACCTGAGCATTATTTTTAAAAATGTTTTTTGCAGAACTTCAAGTGGTTGTAAATGCTATGGTACAATATTTTAAGTTGATGTGGTTGTAGATAATCTCTTATATTTTTAAATTTATATAGTATCATTCTTAATTTTTGGCATATAAAAGTTATGTTTTCTTTCCATTGAGATATGAATCCATGTAAACCCCTAGATATTTTATCTTATTTTCAGAGAGAATGTTAAGTGTTTGCCCACATTTAGTGTCAGTAACTTAATGTCAAACCAGTTTTTCAGATTTGGGAGGTCCTCTTCAACTTTTTGCTTTAGTTCTAGCCATGAGTTAGCCACGAATCCCGCGAAGATATAACTTGATTAAACTGAATATCGATAAATGTAAAGTCTTAAGGTTTAATAAAACAGCTAATATCATTATGCATGATTATGTCATTGCAGGTTCTGAACTAAGTGTTGAGCAAACTATAAATGATCTTTGTGTTATTTTTGACAGGGGCCTATCGTATATTCCTCATTTTATTAGATTCCTTGTTCCTGCCAGACTTACTAGGCAGATTAAACTATTTTATGGACAGAATTTATTTGTAGATGTCCAATTACAATAAGTATTTTTCAAATTATGACATTTTAATAGGTTTTTTTTGAAAGTGCCAACTTTCAATACACTATTGACTTCATTTTTATACTATGACAATTTTATTAATTTCTTTTTTATTTTATTTTAAATGTACCATTTACAACTTTATGTATCTGTAGCGTACTATAAACAAATAGATAGATAAATAAATAAATATGTGAACTTAATTATATAGTTTCTTCCGTAAACATAACTTTGTAGATAATAAATTTACGTGTGTAATTATTATTAAAGAAAATAATATGTATAAACAAAAAGAAAAATATGCTCGTTTAAATCGTTGCACCTATTTTTAGTTGATTTTTACTTACTTTGTTTTTTTTTAAATAAATAATAACCTTTATTTTGATTTTTACAAATTTGATACTTATACAGAACAATGTTTTTTAGCATGATATTCTGCTATGAAAGAAAAAGAAATAATTGCAGATGTTACATATTCTTCTTCAACCAATTCTGAATTATTAACTTTAGCTTCTAAAATTCCTTAGATTTTTACTAGAATTATAATCCAGTCCAAAGGAAACCTAAAACACAATATTTTTAAAATTTATTTTTAGTGAATAAAATATTACACTAGGGCAACCATACTAAAACGTAACAAATTTAAATGTTATTTATCTTTAGTGAACTACATGAACACTTCTATACTGCAGTCCTAGCAAGAAAGGTTTTATCTGCAAAATTAGCAGTTGTTTTTTATTTATGTGCATTTGTCTACATTTTATCTTTCTTGATACTGAAACGGAATGGCTTATTTGCATCAAAGGTACTAAAATGATAAAAGTTGCACAAAAAAGTTTAAAAGATAATAAATATATCTGCTAAAAATAGTTAAAAACTCGATTATTTTAAAACAACAAATTTTCAGATAGGACCTCTCCGGGCGCGGGCGCCAAATTTGTAAGGGGTTTTCTCGCCACAGAGAAAACGGTTCCATACGAATGACGCTAGTTACGCGCGGTTCTCGAGCGCTAGATTTTTGGTGATGGTTTACTCCACAAACTTTCGAAAGTACTCGGGTAGCTACAGATGGAGATGAAAAATTCCAGGGGTCAAAGGTCACTTAGACACAGGTAATAGTAGACCACAACTAACGGGCTTTAATCGTTGCTTGGGCTGGTACAGAATTTATCACTAGCTGAAAAACAATGGGGAAATAAAGTAAGGAATTAACAACCAGTAATGCGGCCAGTTAACATTGACACATATATTAAACTATTTACAAAAAAGGAATAACTTAATGTATTTCAACCCTCACGGTAATATGTACAAACCCTGAACAAAAATAAACAAACAAAACGGCCGGAAATGACTTCCGAGTAGTCTCAATCAGACGTAAAGAAAAAAAAATGAAATCAGTAATTGTAGTTATCACGGTGGCAGCAAAAATTTATTATTGAATTGTCTATTCGGTTGTTGAGTTAAAAATGTAACTTGCTATTTCGCTCGGAAATATTAATTCGGTCGTAGCAAAAATTAACTGTTAAATTGTCTAATCGGTATTTGCAATCAAATGTAATTAAATGCTGCGGCAAAGCAAAATATCATATGCGGTTGCAGGGAATGCGAGGGGACGGGTTCGGGACAATACTAATTCCAGGGCTGAAACCGGGACTCTATAAAAGGTTTACTCAAACTAGTAGTTGGAAAGTAAAACCAACTAACAACCGGGATAGTACATCACTGAATGAAGTGATCGTAATCACGAGCCGCGTTAGACTGGGGAATGATACTATTTAAGTTCAATTAAAATAACGGAGTCTTACGTAAAATAAATTAATAACCGGGATAGCACGTTACCTCTGAATGAAGTGATCGAAATCACGAGCCGCTTCAGACAGGGGAATGATACTATTTTAGTTCTCTTACAATAACGGAGACTAACGCAAATGAGGGTTTCAGACGTAAAATAAACTAATAACCGGAATAGCACATTATCTCTGAATAAAGTGATCGTAATCACGAGCCACTTCAGACCGGGGAATGATACTATTTTAGTTCTGTTGAAATAACGGAGACTTACGCAAATGAATGTTTTAGATGTAAAATAAACTAATAACCGGGATAACACCTTATTTCTGGATGAAGTGATCGTAATCACGAGCCGCTTCAGAGAGGGAATGATGCTATTTAAATTCTCTTAAAATTTGCGGTTCGGAGGATAAAACAAAAGAAAACGTCTCCTCGCAATTCTACCAATATAACCAATCAAAACATTAGACAATTCCCAAACAGTTCCTACCAATTATTTATTGGATAAAGTTTTTAATAAACTAAATTATTTGTTCACGGAAATTTCCATTAGTAGGAGAAATTAAATAAACGACTATATTTACGATCGAATGAAAAATAAATTATTTAACGGTTAAAACTTTAAATAAACTAAAATGAAATTTATTATTTATTCACGGAAATTTCCAGTAGTAGGAAAAATTAACTATACGACTATATTTACGATCGAATGAAAAGTAAACTATTTAACGGTTAAAACTTTAAATGAATTAAAATGAAATTTATAAAGAACGGTGTATTCTAACAAAATAAAGTATTTCTTAATCAAAACAAATTTCAATTCTTAACTCAACACGGAATATTAATTAAAAATAAATCAAATTAAATCGGTTTCAAATAGCACGGCTTAAAGTCTCGGGCGAGAAAAAAAAATCAAAACAATGACAACAATTTACCTATCGGCAAAATCGCGGCTAGGAATGAATTTCGGTTTAGACTGGATCGGAATTGTATCGTATTAATTATTCGACTATTCGATTTCACGGTATAAAAGCAAGTCTGTTCGATAAATCGGTGTATTAGGAACTAAAATTTTAATTCAATCTCGGAGCTCGTTCAGTCGTCGCGTGCCCTTCCACTACCAGAAAATCCCACCATTAAAACTCGCGCAGGCAGAGTACCTCGACGATGGTTTGAACAGCCACAAAATTGATAATATACAGGGCATATCTACGAAGTTAAAATTAAGTAAAAATCGAAATTGATACCCAGAATTAGTTAAAAATAATAATAATGAAAATTGACTTCATTACAGTACTTTGAACTGGTCTCCCCTTGCGGGTGCCTGATATCTGTATGCGGCTCTGTATTTTGGACATCCCGCTGTCATCGCTCTGTGTCCACTGATATTACATACTGGACAGTATTTTTCATTTAGACAATCCTTAGCTTTGTGGCCATCCTGTCCACATTTAAGGCACGCATTCCTCCTGTTTTGTCCAACGCAATCCTTGCTGAAGTGACCCGGTGACCAGCACGTGTTGCAGCTTTTGACTTCCACATGCTGCCTAACTTCGCAGTGAATCGATCCTATTTTGATCCTGTCCTTTTTTAGTACCTCTGGGCCGAGATCTATCTCACACCCTACGATCGCCGCCTGGGTGCCCCCAAAAGTGTCTCTCATAGTTACCCTTATCTCTGAAGAACTTATATTTGGCGCTACCGTCTTTATAGCTTCCACGACTTCTTTGGTGGTTAGGGCGTCCATGTGCTTAATGTGTATTGTCAACATTTTTTCCCTCTCGTCTCAATTCTGGTGTTGAGGATTATTCCAAGTTTTTAACTAATGAGTTTTGTCAACTCCAATGCTTTTTCTCTGTTTCCTTTTACTAGCAGCACTGCACCCCCTTCTTTGGTTTTTCGTGCGTTTGTTATGACTATACCCTTGTTTGCTTCTGTGTCAGCTCTAATGCCTCGAAGAAGGTCAGCATAGCTGCATGTGTCGCTAGCCCCTATAACTACCGCGCTAAACGGCTCCATCGTTTCAGCAGTTTCCTTAACTGGTCTGTGTATGTCTATCCTGCAGCCTTCCCCGTCATAAAAGACCTGCTCTACAATTTTCTGAAACTTTCCGGTTATCATCCCCTTTGGTCTAGAGAGTGATATAATCTTCTTCTTACTCTTAAACATTTTCCCCTTCAGCTCCTGTAGAGGTTTAAACATTTCCTCCTCTTGTGTACTACCTTCCTTCTTCGGTCTTAATACAGAACAAAAAAGTGTACAGCGCTGCTCCCGTTTTTTCCCGTTTATTGCTGTCCTTCTATCCTTTACTATTTCGACGATTCTATCTTCTTCATTAGCATACTCTGTCACTTTGTCAAAAGGTGCCCTCGTTTTCATCCTTTATTGGATCTCCTACTCTAATTTCCATGTGGTTTAATGGGTAATCCTCTGGTCATTGTCCTTCATACAGTTCATGGTCCACTTAGCTTCTTCCAAGCCTTGCTTTTAGCTCTTCTGTGACCAAGTCCGGACCCTCCCCTGTTTGAGTAGAGATGTTCTTTGTCTCTACCTTGTTTCCGTTCTCGCTGTCGTGTGTTTTGAGTTTCTATCTTCCTCACATCTACTTTTATTTTTTTGTCTTGTACTTCTCCTTGTCCTTTTATTATTTCTTCAGATTCGTTCTTTTTATCAATCTGCTTAATTCCTTGACCTTTTTAATTTCTTGTTTTGTGTTCGTGTTTTGTACTACCAGTTCCATGAGTGAGCTCCCGCAGGCAGTCAGTTTATCCAATACCGTCCTAAACTCTGCACCTTCTTTTTTTCCTTTTTGTTAGTCCTCTCAGGTGGCGTTTCTTCTCTAATTCGTTTGCGTTGTTTTTGTTCTTCTTATATCACTATGTCCGATATTTCTAAAACATTCAGTTCTTTCTCTGTGAATCCTGCAAAGGACGTTGTTGGTGTTTCGGTTCCACTGGGGCCTGACCTTGATGTACTATTGAAGATATCGTCCTGCCCGTCAAAAAATCTTTCTGAGGTGACCTCAGTGTGGAGTCCCTGCGTGAGAACGGGTTTATCTTAGACTGCATCATCGCACTGAATGCTAACTCTCTTTGTTCATCATATTTGTTGTCCCTGTTTTCTTTGCCCTGTCTAGATACTTCTTTGTCTACCAATCCTAACCTTTTTTTTTTATTGAGGGGAAAATACTTTTACGCACAGCCGCTGCAGATGTTTGGCAGGGGTAGTGTGGGGCTCGCGGCCGCCAGCCTCCTGGTAATACCCACTAAAAACCCCTCCTCCTCTTCCACCATGGACATCATGGTACCATCCCTGAGGATATATCTTCGTGATGTCCTGGGCTGTTTTATTTTTATTCGTTGTCATTTTCTCTGTCCTCTCCTTCCTTTGTTTTCATTAGATTTTCTATGTATGCCGACACAATGTCCCAGGTTTTCTTATCTTCAAGCATTTTTTCCACCATTGTATCCGAGTCCAGTCTTCCCACTTTATTTTGGACTTCAGTTCTCTCCGTGTTCCATCTACTGCACTTTTGGATTTTTTGTGTGTATGTGCCGAATGTTCCATGGCCCGTAAATGCTTGTGTTATGAAGTAATTTATTCGTCTGTGTGGGCATTTCATCCATCTTTTCAGGTTTGGTATCAGTTTTTGTGTCCACTTTCCTTTTTCACTATTTTGCCATTCCTCCTGCCACCTGTCTATGGTTTTTTGTCTTAACTTTTCTCTTTCTACTTCTTTCTTTTTTGCTCTTCTCCTAGTTCGTAAATTTCTTTCCTTTCCAGTGCTAGCCAGTGAATCGGTGGTACTCCCGCCACCACTTGCGCCGCCACCGTGGATACCGTCCTGTATGCGCTTATGACTTATTAGTGCCTTCCTTTGCGATTTGAGTAGCATATCTTTATATTTTTTTATTTTTGTTGTTTCGTACCATACTGGCGCTCCATACAGTAGTATTAACTGGACTACCTCACATAGTACCCTTCTTTTTTCGTAACCGGGTCCTCCGATATTTGGCATAATTTTTGATAGTGCTGCCATTTTTCCTTCCGCTCTCTCAGTGGTTTTGGTTATATGCTCGCCATAATACCCGTATCCGCTGAGATGGATCCCTAGATATTTCAGATGTTTCTTTGGGCGTATATGTACTCTCCCGATCTCTACTAACACATCGTCCCTTTTGGGTTTTCCTTTTAGGATGATTGCCTCAGTTTTGTGTGTGGCCAATTGCAGACTATTTTCCTCCATCCAGTTTTGGATTTGCTCCAGCGTTCTATTTGCTTTTTCCATCAGACTGTTTTTTTGTTTGCTTCTATCACAATCACAAGATCATCCGAAAATGCTATTCTCCATACGTCCTCCTCTTCCGCATTGGGCCTCAGCACGTCATCATACAAGATGTTCCAGAGTGTCGGGCCAAGAACCGACCCCTGCGGTACGCCTTGTTTTGTCTTTATTTCGTCCCTGTTTGTGTAGAATATTTTCAGCTCCGTTAAATAGCAGTCTACTATGTTGATAAGGTAATTGGATATACGTTTCCTTTCCATTGCGGCTATTATCTTACTCCAACTGGCTGTATTGAAGGCATTTTTAATGTCGAGCGCTACCAACATGACCCATACCGCTCTGGTTTCCTTTACCTGTTCCTTTATTTTATTTAGGGCTTGTAAAGTGGACCTGCCCTTCGTGAATCCATATTGGTTGTCAGAGATCCCGTTTTTTGTTCTTAGTTCTTCCGCTACTCTGTCCCTGACCAGCGCTTCGTAGACTTTTCCTAGACCGTCCAGCATACATATGGGCCTATATGACGAGCTCGTCTCCACTGGTTTTCCTTGCTTGTCAATAAGTATAACTTTAGCCCTCTTCCATGTTTCTGGAAATTTTTGTTATTTAGTACCCCATTCAGTACTTTTAGGATTTCTTCTGGGATTTCCTGAAGTATTAATTTGATAGCATCGGATGGTACTCCATCCATGCCGGGTGCTTTTCCATTTTTCAATTTTTTTCCACGGCTCTTAGTTCCTGAATGGCGGTATATCCTTCCCGTTTACCTTCACCCTCCTTTCCCTAGTGTCTTGTGTCCTTGGGAACAGGTCCTCTACTATTTTCTTTTTTTGTTCCTTGGGCAGGCTATATGGTAATTTGTTTGCTTGTAAGCTTCTCATGGCAATTTGATACCCTTGTCCCCACACGTCTTTCTCCAGCTCCTCGCATAGTTCCTTCCACTTTACTTTTTTTGTTCTGTTTATGGTTTTCTTTAAATTTTTTCTTAACTGTTTCAGTTCCTTTTCTTCCTCTTCCACATTTCTTTCATTTGTTTTTTTTTCTGGCGATTTTTCTTCTAAGGGCTATAATTTGTTTTCTTTGTTCTCTATCTCCCCGTTCCACCAGTAGAGTATATTTCTCTTCCTAGTGAGTTTCTTTGTGGATATTTTTGCTGCGTATGTCGCTGTTTTTACTAGCTCTTCCACTGATTTACACTTTTCTCTATTCTCCTTTATGGTGCGTATAAATTTTTGCTTGTCCAAAATATTTTTTTTGATAAACCCCAGGTTTCGTGTTTGAACTTTCTATCTCGAAGTAGATGGCTTTGTGGAATGATGCTATCTTGTCTTCCAGCGTTTTCCAATTTTTAATTATTTTGCTGAGCCTACTTGTAGCACACGTCACATCTATGTGTGTTTTGGATTTATTTCTTTCGCATGTGGGAGATCCATCGTTACACGCTATAATGTCTCGTTCCGCCATGCACGCTGTCCAATATTCCCCTCTGCGATCTGTTTGTGGGGCTACTCATTGCGGTGACTTCGCATTTAGGTCACCCAGCACTATTGCTTCTTTTTTTTTGTTTTATTTTATTTACCATTTCATCTGCGGTTTTCTTAAATTCTTCGAATGGTTTATTTGGTGACAGGTAGCATCCTATTATAATGAATTTGTGGAATTCCACCATTATGTAGCTTTTTTTTTCTTAATTTTTAATAATTCCGCATTTTTGGTTTCTTACGTACCTATACTGCGATATCCTGTCTTTTGTCGCATATCCACCCCTGTTTTTTTGTTATTTTTTTGTTTGGTTCTGATACAAACAAGAGGTCGGCCTCTCTCTCGCTCGTCATCACGTACGCTAAGTCGTGAGAGATTCTTCCTCTACCTAGGTTAGTTTGGATTATTGTAATTGGCATTCTAGATATTTTTTCTTTAGACGCTCACTAACACTTAACACAGAAGACATTTACGTTCCTTTACAGGTAGTTTCCCTTGGCTTTATTTAAAGCCTCACGAAATTTTGGGCATTTGCTGGTGTCTGCGCGATGTCCTGCCTCTTCACATAGGGGGCAGTGTTTTTCGCTTTTGCATTCCTTGGCTCTATGGTCCGCGGCTCCGCGGTTTAGACATGCGTTTTTCCTGTCTGGTCCACTACAATTGGCAGCTACATGTCCCGCTTCCCAACATTTGTAGCATCTTTTGACATCCACTCTTTCCTCGATGCTACATTGTATCCATCCAATTCTTATTTGTCCCCCCGCACTCTTGATTTTTCTAGCCGCATTTTCGCTGGTTGCCAGGGTTGCTGTTTGGCTATCTCCGTAGGCGGGTCTCATTGTTAGGACTCTTGTGCCTTTTTCCTTCCCTATTATTTTTGAGACAGCCTCTCCATCACATCTTCATCGGTGGTTATTGCATCGATTCCCCTGATATGGAAGACGACTTTCTCCTCCCTTTTGTCTTTAACCTCGGCTTTTGCTTTCTGTATCTTGGATTTTATTTCTGTTTTTAGATTTGCCACTGATCCTTGAGGAGATCTCCGTTTTTTGTCTTTTTGATGGATTTTACGGTCACGTTTATACCATTTATGTCGACCTTTTCTTTGACCTCCCTCAGTAGGTCAGCATACGACGTCCCTTTCGCTTTAATCAGTAGAGTTTCCGTTTCTGCGGCCCTATTTCTTTTCGCTTTTGGCTCTGTTTCCTCTTCCTTCAGGATTTTCTTCATGCTGTTTGGGATATGCATTGTTACGTTAACGGTTGAGTCTCCAAAGATGTAATCTACCATCTTGAGAGCCGTCTGTTGGTCCAGTTCTTCTGGAATTGGTAGTGCGAACTTGACGCAGGAATTTTTAACTGCTGAGTCTTTTAATTTCTTAAGCGCGGTAAACACAAATCTCTCTGGGCCGCCTTCGCCCGTGTCTACGACGGCGCGAAAGACAAATCTCTCCTTCACTTTCTCCTCACCTCGGATTGTGACTCTTGACGTTTGTGTCAGGTGTATTACCCCGCTTTCTAGCAAATCTTCTGGGCCCACCTCGTCGATATCCGGGTACCTCTCTTTAAAGATACGGGCAATCCCTCTTTTCATTTCTAGCCATGTGAAGATGGCCAGATCCGTCGTGCTAGCGAATGCTATTGGGTTGCCCTTTTGTTCTTTTACTCTCCTGTATGCTTGAATTTGCCAGGTCATCTGTTTCACCTTTTTGAACCCCTCATATGTTCCGTCCGTTGAGCTTATGGCCCAGACCGTTCCTGTATCCTGATCTTCCTGCCTCTTTTTAATTTGCTCTTCTATGTCTTCGTCTGTTTGGATATCCATTTCGGTAGTCTCCGCTGGTTTTTTCTAGCTCCAGGTTATCCGCCTACCATCTAACGGTCTTAACTGCTGGGGTTAGTGCCCTGATTCTCTCTTTAATCTCCTTTTTGGTATTGGAGTTTTCTTCCACTAGCTTCATTAGTTCTCTCGTTATATCCTCTACCTTTTTGAGAGACTTAAGGGGAGTTTTGACATCCTCGGCAGTTTTGATTTTTTTCTTCGGCCCTGCTTTGGACTGTGAATTGCTGGCCTCATGCGTGTTTCCTTCTTCCTCCGGATCCTCTGAGGACCTGCCCCTTTTCTTTTTGGTTTCCTCATCCTCGGAAAGGTCTGTATCATCTGTTTGTGGTACAACCGTTATATTTCTTCCTAGCGTGAATATCTGCTTCTCAAAGACATTGTCGTCTATCAATCCTCCTGAGCCTGTGTGTATTGGAGTAGTCGGTGAGTCTGTGCATGACATAAATGGTTCGTCTTTCCTTGCAATGCTAACTTCCAGGTTCTTGACAGGTGTTCTTCTTGTGTTGCAGCTTTGTAACAACCAGGACAAGCCTAAAGACCATTTGCAACTACTGATAGGTCTTTAGCTATTGTTGTTAATATACTATTAAGGGATTAGGGCAGCGTTGTCACCAGCCAAAGGGTCCTGGAGTCCTGAAGGAACATCCATTCGCCAGTGGCAAAAGAAAATAATAAAGAAAAAATAATAAAATACAAAAAAAAACATCCCTTAATAGCATATGTCGAGCGGTTCTTGGCAACTAGTTTTAGACTCTTTCAGTCCTAAGGGCATAGAAACGCCGAGGCTTCTCAAATGCTCGGAGTATTTTGCTGGTTTGGAAAGGGAGAAGAGATTAATAATAAGTATTAAAACATTAACAGATGTATATTAACAATAACTATAAAACTTGACAAATAGTCTTAAGAAAAAATGAACAAAATTCCATTTAGGGAATAAAGCACTATAACTAATAGTAATAAAGATAGGCATAAGATAAAATTCGGGACGAAAATGTAAAATTGGCATTTATATGTAAATAAATTAATCAATTATTATTAAACAAAATTAAGTTAAAATATTTACCCATAATTCACATCGTACACAAAAAACTTTACACATTACTTTACAATACAAAACCAGAGTTTCGCCCAAGGGGCGAAAGTTCTGGACCTTAGTCCGAACCCGACTGAGCGTTTACCCAAGTGATCCTTTCTATATAAACCAAAATTTATGTGACTGTTGATTGTATTTAACAATGTCACGTTCAATGTAGATGAATAAATTGAAGGTTTGTTTCATTGTCATAAGTGTCTTTTTAATTATTTAATTTAAAAATTAAATACTTGTTTATTATTTTTTCTTTAATATTGTTTTTTTGCCACTGGCGAATGGAGGTTCCTTCAGGACTCCAGGACCCTAGGGCTGGTGACAGGTGCTGCCTTTATCCCTTAATAGTATAATGACAACAGAAAGGCCTATCAGTAGTTACAAATGGTCTTTAGGCTAGCTGGTTGTTACAGCTTTGCTTCTTCCATTCCTCTATAATCTTTTCTTCTTCGGCTTTCTGCGTTAATTCGTCGCGCTTTTGCGGCGGTTTCTGGTCGTCCTCCTTGTTATTTTGGTTTTTTGTGTTTAGTGTTTCCATTTAGATCCCACGAGTAGCTAGGAAAGTTTTGTCTGCTACTACAGAGCCCCGCATGTAGAATTAAGGCGTTCCTACGGCTTTCGCCTTCGGCTACCCCGCACACCCTCGCCATGGCGCCGGGGGGCTGCTCGCGACCCTCTTCGGGGGGCTATCCATCCCTCACCGCAGTTCCCAGGTTCCTAACATAACATAACATAACATAACATAACATAACATAACATAACATAACATAACATAACATAACATAACATAACATAACATAACATAACATAACATAACATAACATAACATAACATAACATAACATAACATAACATAACATAACATAACATAACATAACAACATAACATAACAAAACATAACATAACATAACATAACATAACATAACATAACAACATAACATAACATAACATAACATAACATAACATAACATAACATAACATAACATAACATAACATAACATAACATAACATAACATAACATAACATAACATAACATAACATAACATAACATAACATAACATAACATAACATAACATAACATAACATAACATAACATAACATAACATAACATAACATAACATAACATAACATAACATAACATAACATAACATAACATAACATAACATAACATAACATAACATAACATAACATAACATAACATAACATAACATAACATAACATAACATAACATAACATAACATAACATAACATAACATAACATAACATAACATAACATAACATAACATAACATAACATAACATAACATAACATAACATAACATAACATAACATAACATAACATAACATAACATAACATAACATAACATAACATAACATAACATAACATAACATAACATAACATAACATAACATAACATAACATAACATAACATAACATAACATAACATAACATAACCTAACATAACCTAACAACATAACATAACATAACCTTTTTTGTGGGGAAAGCTCATAGCCGGCTTCCGGTGCTTGTGCCAGCGTCGTCTATCGCAACGGAGAGTGTGGGACTCAGGTGTTCGAAGCTCACCTGCCTACCCGAACTAAAACCCCACCTAGGCACCCCTTCGGTTTCCTTCTTTACCGTGGAACCATCTGTAAAGATATATCTTCACGATAAGGATGGACTTGTTCCTTATTGCATTCCAAGAGCGTCTGCATCTTGTTGGCGTCTCTCTGCCTGTTCCTTTTCCTTCATGACTTCCTTTATATAAATGTGGATTTGTTTGTATCTTCCTTCAGAGTTGTCCATTTCTTCTATTAGATTTTCCGTCCGGAGTTCTGTGTTAATCTCTCTTTCCAGTTATTCTCTTTTTGCGTTCCATCTGTGACAGATCAGTATAGTGTGTTCCGCCGTATTCTGCCCACCGCAGTATATACATATATCGTCTTCCACTTTCTTTATTTTATGAGTGTACTCTCTAAATGAGCCGTGTCCCGACAAAAATTGAGTGAGGAAGTAGTCTGTTGTTCTATAGGGGCATAGTACCCATTGGCTTATGTTTGGTATCAGCCGCTTGGACCATTGTGCTGTACATTGGTTTTCATTCCATCGGTCCTGCCAATCCCTTAGCACTGCCTCATTGCATTCTATCTCCGCTGCCCTTGTTTCATTCAGGAGACGCCTTTTCTTGATCATTAGGTCTATTGGTAGTTGTCCAGTTATGACGTGTAGGGCTTCATTTGACACAGTTCTGTAGGTCAAGGCAGTTCTTAGGAGGCATTTCCTTTGCTTTGAACTGACATGATCATGTTCCTGTAGTACTGAAACTTTAGTGCTTTCCCCCAGATGGGTGCAGCGTACATTATCGTGGAGTATGCAACCCCGTTTAATACTTCCCGGCGTCTAGAATTTGGCATGATCTTACTTGATGCCACGACCTTTTCCTCTACTTTCTTTGTTATATACCTAATGTGGTGCGTAAATGCTAGTTTATCATCGATGATTACCCCTAGATATTTAATTTGCCTACATGGCATGAGATCTGTTTCTTGTATCTTGAATTTTATGTTCTCTCTCTTTCATGGTCCTTTAACTATCACTACCTCCGTCGTTGACGGGGCTATTTCGAGTTTATTTCTCTTCATCCAGGCCACAATGTTAGCCATGGATAAATTGACTTTGTATCAGGTCCTCTTTGTCGTTTGACCCCACTACTAGGGCTAGGTCGTCGGCATATGCTATGCTCCTAACTCCGTCGGGCTGGGCAATTCTTAGTACCTCATCGTACTGCACGTTCCATAGGATACGACCTAATACGGAGCCTTGCGGTACTCCTCATGTTTCCCGATCATTAGGCTCCTATATTGGAAGTAACTGTCAATCAGGTGTATCATGTACTCCTGTATTCTGTATTCTCTTAACTTGCTCATTATGTTTGTCCAGTCTGCCGTATTAAAGGCATTTTTTACGTCGATTGCTATGAGTGCTACCCATTTCATATCCGATTCGTTTACAATTTCCACCACCTTTCTCACCGCCTGTACCGTTGATCTGCCCTTCCTGAACCCGTATTGATCGTCCGACATCAAATTTCCTTCCTCTATTTCCTTTTCTAGTCTATTTTTTATTAGCATTTCAAGCAGCTTTCCGAGGACATTTATTAGGCAGATCGGTCTGAAATCCGATGCCTTCTCCATCCCTTTACCCTTACTCAGCAGGACTACTTTTGCCTCTTTCCATAGCCGAGGAAATTCTTGGTTTCTTAAGAGTTTGTTATACATCTCCAGCAGTTGTTCTTTATGTGTTTCGCCTAGTATTTTTACAGCCGCAGGTGGAATTTTGTTTGGGCCTGGTGCTTTGTCTGCTTTTATGTTGTTTAGTGCAGTCTCCATTTCATCCTCTGTGAACAAAGGGGGAATATTTATTTCGTGTCTCGTTATGTGCATGTATTTTCTCCTAGGTGAGGGGAACAGTTCCCGTGTATACTCTAGTACCTTTGTTTTTGGTATGTTGTATGGGCACATTGTTTTGAGGTGTCTAATTGCTATTTTGTATCCAGAGCCCCACATATCTTCATTCAGTTCTTTGCATAGCGTTCTCCATTTTGCTCGTTTTGTTTTGTTTATACATTTGACCAAGTCTCTTTTCTTTATTTTATATGTCTCATCTGCCTCTTGCATCTCTAGGTCCGTGTGTTGTCTTCCGCGAATCCTTACAACCTTTCGCCTTGCAGCGTTACATTGTGTTCTGTTCTTGGATTTCGGCCGTCCACCAATAGGGTATTCTTGATTCGTTTATTTCTAGGGTACATTTTTTTATCAGTGCACCGATTGTTTTTGTGAATGTTCCTATGTCTAGGTTTGAAATGTTTGGTATCCCTCTCACATTTTCCTTAAATGT